CGGGGCTGTGCTCAGCTCGCCCGCCTGCACTGCAGAGCCCCGGCGGGCGCCCGCTGGCCCCGGGCTTCTGAGGGAATAGCAGGCTGGTGCGTGTGGCGGCTGCTCTTCAACACTTTAGCAACTGCAGCAGATACCGCGCTGCCCCAACATATTCAGCACCCGAACCAGAAATACATCACTGCTGCCTGTCTGCTTTCTCGCTGCCTGGCGCTAGATTCAAGGTACTGGGTGGCTGCACAGAAAATTCTTTTCTGTCGAAAAGCCTATTACATCCAGTTGGATGTCTGGAACATGAATTTATTTGGGTTCAAACACCAATAATCCACATACCCACTCCTTCTATATTCTATCCTAGTAAGACATGCTCCAAAGCAACCCTGAGAGCTCCGGGCGAGGGCAAAGCCTGATGTCAGCTAGTTGATAATCAATGTTACATGAACCCAGTTATCACTTCAGGATGATGCTAGAAAACAAAAAAATCCCTTGCTAAAATGTTCTGGACAGTAAAGCTTTGAACGGAAAGACAGGGATGAATCTCATGCTTGCTTTTGTTTTGTTTATTCCTTCTGCTGTAATATTGTGTATAAACTCTGCCCTGAGAATCTCAGACTGAGCTACCAGCACGTGCAAGCTTTGATATGGATGAATGATTTTCCTTGCACTGGTCAATAACCAAATGTTTTGGCATGATCCAGTGAGAATGAAGCACTTGGAGAGTTTTGCTAGGCTCCTGCCTACATGGCTGGGCGTTCCAGATGGAAAGCCTGGTCCTAAGTGAGTTGCTGAAGACTGCACAGGACTGAAATGGGTCTCCAGAATGAGCATTCACCCCCTTTTTAATTTACTCTTCCCCCTATTACCAAAGTTAGTCCTGAGATCAGTAATATTTTTTTCTACCGTAGACACGCAGCGAACAGCTCAAACGTTTCTAGATGATTATGAATGTAAATTAATTACCACACTCACTTCACAACTGGGGACACAGATGCACAAGGTCTGCAGGGGAAGAGGAGGGAAGTGCCACAATTACGGGGAGCAAAAAGTGAGAGGCCGCCTGCGCCTGCCTTTGCACCTCGCTGGGGGAATCTCCAGGCGCGGCGGCGGCGGCTCGCCCAGGCCAGGCCTTGGTCGGGCTCCTGGGAGGGAGCACGAGGCAGCGCTGCTCACAGAACTGCCAGCTGGGCTCCCGCCACACCGGCACTCCTAGCTGACACCAAATTGCCACAAAAACGATAGAGAACGTGTTCTGGCTGCTGGGGGAGGATTCATGCAGTTGCTTGAAAGCTAGGAGGGCTGAGTAGACATCTGTTGTCTATAACAAAACATTTCGGGACTACCTTAAATTGAAGAGGAAGATTTTCCTTCTGCTAATGAACCCAGAGACCATCTGTTACCAATTGCACTTGCTTATCTCACTCATCCATTAATTATTTTGGTTTACTTTTTAATAAGATAGAGCAAGGTTTATGTGTCTTTCCGTGGCTCTGTAAGGGGCACAGGATGGTGCCTACATCTCAGCGACAAGGACACGCAATTACATAATTTACGCCTGCACTGAGTCACTGCAATTAGAGTGGCTGTCAGTGGGGAACTGAGGACAAGACTCCCAGATACGGAGCCAAGAAACCCAGCGATACCGTGACATGAGCTTGTTGCCCCTGGGGAGGTGTAATGGCATTAACAACTTTTGAACACGGGAGAGCATGCATTCACGATGTGCATTATTGAGCAGATAAGCTGTAGGGAAGGCAAATTCAGAACTCTCTGCTGGTCTGAATGAAGAACCTGGATAGCTAAACAGGAGGAACAATAAAATATGACAAGGGCACTAAAAATAGCAAGCAGCAGCGCTGCACCGCCTGCCTCCTGCGTGAGGACTTGGAGGTGGGTGGACGAGGCGGGGAGGGGTCCGGCGTGGCGGGGGGGAGCGCAGTGCCAGCTCCCTCCTGCGGACACCCCTCGGAGCACCAGCCCCAAGCATCTCTGCAGCTGAGCAACGGCCCTGGCCACGCTTCCCAAGGTCTGGTCCTAAAGTTTGATGGGAAGCCACTCCTCTGTTTCATAAAAATATTCCAAGACTTTAAGTTTGTCCCCTATTGCCCTGCAAAGCTGGCACTCTGAACACTTTCATGGACCAGCATATAACAAAAAAGCCAAATGTTTTAATGTCTTTATTTCAGTCCAGGAAATGTCCTGGAGCGAGCCTCGTTCGGCCTGCAAATGTCACAGCTCTGTCCAAGGGCTTTCTCATCATTGCCACATGCGATTATGAATCAAACTTCATGTGGCTTAATGCTGGTTTTGTCTTGTCTTGCAGGAGGAATCTTTGAGTATGCAGATGGCCCCAATACCCAGGTTATGAGTGCTGAGGAGCAAGCCTTCCGATTTTCTGCCAATATTATTAATAGAAACAGAACTTTGTTGCCTAACACCACACTAACCTATGACATTCAGAGGATACACTTCCACGACAGCTTTGAAGCAACTAAGAAAGGTAAGAGCACGGCACACTCCCTAGCAGCTTTGGTTTTATTCCGCAAAAGAAAGGCACGGTTTCACTTGAGCCCCAGCAGCTCATTTTGTCCCGCGCTCGTCAGTGACTGAGATGAGAAGTCCTCCAGGAGCTGACCTTCCAGAGGCATTTTAATATAAGGGGAACAACTCTTCTATTTTCCCTCTGCAAACCTCACAGAACTCCTTTCAGTGTTTGCTTCTAATACTGAGCAAAGGTCTGGAGGCCATGCCTTTGTTTATTTTACTGTACCCCTGGCAGTTGTAACATCCATAGCGCAGACATTCTGCTCTCCTCCTAACAGCCAGTTTTTAATATCAAATAACAGCAGCCCACCTGAATTACTGAAGGGGAGGGCAGAAATGGGACTACACAGCAAAGGCTGGGGAGCTGCTGGCTGGGGGCTGCTTGCATTGCCTTCTGTCTCGGGAGAGATGAATCCTGCTGCCTGAGCTCGCAGCCGCCAGGGCAGCACCGGAGCGGGGGGGTTCTGCTCACAGCCGAGCTCCCCGGCCTGGCTGCCCCTTTTTAAGGCTGTTCTGGTGTGGAGGTTCCCTGGAAGCTCCCCCTGGCACTCCTCTGTGCCGGCGGCCGGGAGCACCCAGCCTGGCTGTGCCGAGCGCCGGGATGGGAGCGGAACACGCGGGACCCCCGCCAGGGACCCCCGAGAGCCGGGGGGACCCTCTGCCTCAGCTCCTGCCCCTGGGGCTGGGAGCAGTTGCTTCCCTAAAACCTTTTCATGAAATGTGGCCACCCCGAAGCCCCTGCGGGCAGCACTAAGCATTAGCGTTCTGTTTGGAAGGACCTGCAGAGGCAGTTGAGAAAAAAATTTGTTCCTGTTCCTCTGAAAAACTTTAATTTTTTTTCTCCCTCCTCAAAACGCAGCCCCAAATGCAGCTGTTCTGTTCTAATTTCTCAGTGAAAGCTTGAACAAAGCGATGAAAAGCGTTACTTTGTAGGAAAACAATTCTATTAAAACTGGCGGAAAACCACATTTGTCAGGGGGGTTTGGATCATCTTGGGTACTTCTTTCCCAACTCTGGAGGCTCGGCCATTTCTGCAGCCGCATTCCCTCCTCTGGACACGTCCGTGTGCCTCTCTAACCGCTGGCCCAGACGCTCACCTGCCAGAATTCCACCCCCCCACACTCTGCCCCTCGTCGCTGCTGTAATTTCCTCTTGCCCGGGCTGCTATTAGTGCCCAGGAGCTTGTTGGTCCGTGGCGCAGGGCGGGAGGGAGCTGCCTGTGTCCCCGGGGCTGCCCCGTCCCTTACTGACGGCTCCTTCCCCTCCCTCCCCTTCCCTTTCCAGCCTGTGACCAGCTCGCTCTGGGGGTCGTTGCAATATTCGGACCTTCCCAAGGCTCCTGCACCAACGCTGTCCAGTCCATCTGCAATGCCCTGGAAGTCCCCCACATACAGCTCCGGTGGAAGCATCACCCTTTGGATAACAAGGACACTTTCTATGTCAATCTGTACCCCGACTACGCTTCCCTCAGCCACGCCATCCTGGACCTCGTGCAGTATCTGAAATGGAGGTCAGCCACTGTGGTTTATGATGACAGTACAGGTAGGTAAAGGAGGGGCTTTAAAGAAAAAATTCAGGTGATTTTTGGTTGTGAGTCCCATTTAGGAACTTTTCTAATGAACCACTCTAGGAGCAAAACGACCCCCCCACACACAATAATCAGGGCACAGCGGTTCCCAAGCACTCGAGCGAGCGCTGCGGAAGGCCCTGGGATCCTTTCTGAGTCATTTCATGCACAAAGCGCTTAGAAAGTGGGTAACCCCCAGCACCACCCCAGCTGACAAAGGGTCAAGGGGAGGGTTAATTGTCTGCTGGGGTGACCTGGCTCAGCTCGGCTGCCTTTGGCACCGCGGTGCCCATCTACACCAGCAAAGACCTTGGGCTGAGGGTGCAGTTTCCCAGCTAAAAGCAAAAGCGGTTCTGGAAAGTGTTTTGTTTTCTGGCTAATTCTATAAAACAGAGCTGAGAAAGTTTTTCACAGAAAGGAAGCTATTGATGATTAAACAAAACAAAGCACTGCACAGCACTATAGATTAAAAAAAAACCCCAAAACAAAAGACACATTGGCTAGCCTGTCCAACCTAATTCCACTAAACCAAATGGTTTCTTTAGGGGAGGGCTGATGAGAACACAGTTTGACATTCCTGTTTTGCAAATGTGGGTCACAGTATGTTCCCTTCGTGGCATATTCTAATGTATTCCTTCTACTATGCAGAGGGACATGCTTCTCTTTTTTTCCTTGCAGTAGGCATCTGCTGAATTTCTTCTTGCAACATTAGATACCAATAATTCCTGCTCAGCTGCATCCAGCATGGCTTTGTACCTTCCGCATAAAAAAGAAATTAATTCTAAGGGTAGTAAGAAAGTTGCAAGTTGTGATTAAGTGACCGTTATGAACCACGCAATTCATAAATCTAAGCGCACACGTTCATTTTTTTCTTTTGCTGTGACGCATGGTAAATACCGCAGATTTTAATTTGTTGTAGAGCTGATTAGCACATTCTGCCCTTTCTCAAGGTCACATTTGCTTAAGAAAATCCCAAAGATGTCAAAAGTTCAAATCTGCCATTATCCTCCTCCTACCTGGCGCAGGGACCATAGCTGGATGTGGGGGCAGCAGGGAAACACTGGGAAAAGCCTACTCTGCTCTGGAAATATCTGGGGTTTAATAGTTGATAAATGACACCGTGGCTTTGGTACGCCTTTAGCGATGAGGGAGGGAGGAAAGCCCTGATTGCATTTTATAAAACAATACAGGAAGAAATAACTTGCTGTGACAGGCAGGCTGCAGGGCCAGGGCAGGCTCCTGTAACACCGGGTTTGTCTTTGTGTGATGCCCCAAGGCCTGATACGGCTGCAGGAGCTCATCATGGCCCCGTCACGGTACAACATCCGCCTGAAGATCCGCCAGCTCCCGCTGGACACCGACGACGCCCGCCCGCTGCTGAAGGAGATGAAGCGGGGCAGGGAATTCCGCATCATCTTCGACTGCAGCCACTTGATGGCGGCTCAGATCCTCAAGCAGGTGAGCGGGGCCCAGGGGTGCAGCCCCCGGCGGACACAGACGTGCGGGCGGCCAAGCTGCAGGGAGCTCTGCCTCTGCCCGCAGCCACGGCTGAAAGCTACCGCGTGTCCGTTCTTCAAGGACACTGTTGGACAGCTACAGAAAACGCAGCTTTCACTGGAGGCATCAGAAAGCGACCGTTGGTTAGAACGAAGCACGGTCACGGGAGGAGGCGGTGCGGAGCGCGGCACGGGGAGTGACCCCGCGTCCCTCTGTCCCCGCTCTCTGCCCCAGCATCAGGCAGCGCCGTGCTCTGGGCCGCAGCTCTCGCCGTAGCCCCGTATGAGCTCTTTGTCCTTGCCATTCTAAATGTCTTCTTGCCCTCTGTGCTGCGCCATGCACCAGGCGCGTGCTCCACCCGTGCAGAGGCGCAGGGTACCAGCCGCTTCGCTCCAGCACCATCTGCAATTCTTGGACTTTAAGCCAGGTGTCAGTGATTTTCCATTCCTTTGGTCTCTCCCCTTTCTCCCCGAGTTCCTCCACTGGCAGGTTTGCTGCTCACCCCAGTCCTCCTCATTTCCAAGTGCCTTTAGGTTTCAGGGTCAACATGAGACAGGGGAAAACGCTCTCACAAAGGATGCTAAAACCCGGCCGGTGGAAGTGTTGCTCGTATCAGCCCAGCAAGACATGAGCACAGAGATTAAATAAACCCCCTGAAGGGCTGAGGAGGCAAGCACATGGAAGGAGACTTCTCTTGCAGCCTGCTTGATGCAAAATGAAGGGAAGCGCTCAGAGAAATCAGAAAGCCTGGGAGGGATTATTAAAGAAAGCAATATAAGGGACTCATTGTCTTCTGCCTATTATTTTAACATGCTGGCTGTGTTTGGTGCTGTTCACTTATTATGCAGTTTATTATAGTTTATTGTGCCATCTGCTCTGCTCGTCACCGCGAGTGCAGAGTGAGGAAGATGGAGGAGAGGGGGGACTAGGGGGAAAGAAGTCTTTCTAAGTCCTTCTGGCTGGTTTTGTGTGTCTGCTGGGTTTTTTCAAGACCCAAAGCCATAGATTTCAGCTTAGCAATATTGCATAGTGTCCAGGAAAAAAACTGTTCGATATTCTCAAGAGTTTGGGAAGATGCACAACCCCAGCCACATCCTGACAGGCCCCAGCACACCTCTGCACTCCGGCGTCTCAGCACGGCGCGCGCCGTGACCCTCCTCCCCCTCCCTCTGTGGGCACTCACATTTGCTGAAGGAAGCCCAGAAATCTCATTTTTTCCTAACTTTTCTACCTGTATCAAGAAATGGACATCTAGAGGTGTCACCTTCACTTGTGAAACAGCTTTCTTCATTTCAGTCGGAGGGGATAGAGAACCAGGCTTCCCCACCCCTCCACACCGCCCTCACGCTCTGCTTGGCACGTTCACCAAAAGCACGAGCTGGGTAAAGCCAAAACCGTCTCCTGGGAGAGGAGATTCTGCTTTGGCTTTGTGGTGTTAGAAGAACAACACAGAGAAAAAGAACTGGACTGCAGAAAGAGACCGGGCAGAACGGCCCGGCCTTCTGTTTGGGGCAGAAACACTCCTGTTCATATATTGCTGCTATTTTTTGCCTTTTGTAGCGTTGGGTAACTGCAGCCGTTGGCTCTGCAGACCCTGGAGCCTCTCGGCGATGCTGCCCACCCCGGTGCCACGCCGATGGGTGGCACAAAGGGTCTCTCAAGATTTGTGCTAAAATTTCCACCGCTTGGTACTGATTTTAACCGTGCATCTTTAGGTAACATAGAACGGTCCGAGCAACCCCAGCTGACACTCACTGAGGTAGCTCTGACTAAACACACACCGTCACGCCAGTCCAGATCTTGCTCCCGAGTTACCTGAGGTAACGTGCTCCCCCGGCACAGGAGTAGCAAAGCACTTCTCTGATAATCTGGACGGTATTTTTAAACTGGACGAGTAAAAAATACACCATGGTTTAGTAATCCATGAGTAACAACACCAGAGCTGGCACAAAGATATACAGAGGACATTGCCACATACTGCTCCAGTCTGGGTCGCTTGGAGTGACTGAGACATCAAGCCATTCATTATTTTACCCTCTTGGACAAACAAATCATTGTACAAACCCATCAGAGAGCTCGGCCTGCTCGTGAGGCCTCCCCATCCTACCCCAGCTTCTCTGGCCTTGCTCATTTTTGGTCACTTGTTAATGCTTTACATCTGTTCTCTGGCGTCCCAGCTTCCCCGTTCTCCTTGGCAGCTGTCTCTGAACAGTTGCTGCACTCTGCAGTGCACAGATGTGCCTGTCTTGACTTTAATGGAGCTCCCATCCTCATCGTGGCGATTGCCTGTAGCTTATCCACCAGGTTCATCACTTATTCATTTCCCCACCAACCCAGATGTACCCTGCACACAGGCTGCCAGCACTGGGAAGCTGGAGCTCACTTCTTACAGCAGGTCCGGACTCTTCATCCACCGCCAAAATGATCCAGCTGTAGAATCCGAACTGGAATCTCGTGATTCACTCCCAGTTGGTTTCACATTATCTAACTGATGCTTCACACACCGAGGTGTGTCCCCGTGCTCCAGCTCTCTGCACCCGCGTGTGCAGGTCGGGAGAGGGGCCCCACAGATCCCCCCCCAGGCAGCGAGGGGGACAGCTGCCTGCCTTCCAAAAGGTATTTCCAGGCCAGGAAACATGGGGTAAAATCACACTCTAGAGTTACAACATCTAGGCTGGTAATCTAGATTCTTTCCTTTTCCCTTGTTTTTTTTGACATCTCACTTCTTTTCAACCTGTCACTTCCTTCCTCGGAGCTAAATTCTGCCCTAGTAATTTTAGCAAGAACCAAGAGAAACAAACGTTTCCTGGGGGGACCTGAACTCGCTTTCCCATCGGTGGAGATTTTAAAGTGCTCGTGCATGTGTTTTCTCACGAAAACGTGCTCACAGAGTCATCACCGCAGTCAAACCCACGGCTCTCTCTTTCCTTTAGCCAGCCACTAACTTCAAGGTGACTCTCCTCACCGACAGAAGCGCTCTGTGGGGCGGTGTGGGGCCTGGGCGGGCTCAGCCAGCCGAGGGGCCTTCAGCCCACGGTCCCCCTCTGACAGGCCTCCCAGGACAGCATGTTCTCCCCAGCGCTCAGCTGTGCAAATCCCAGCAATCTGCACGAACCGTCCTCGTGTCGGGGCTGGCAGACCACAGCCTGGGCTCGCCAAGAGCCCTCGGGTCCGGACCACGATCTCCAAGGGCTGAGGGTCGGGAGATGTCCCCGCTCCCCAGCCCTGGGCCTCTGCCTTCCTGACCCAGTTCTAAACCAGGCACGACCTTAGAATCTGGCTTTTACACGCAGGAAGGACTCACAGAGAAGAGCTACAGGTACCCGTTATACAAACAGACGCTGAAGGGGAGGGAATGCCGAGCACCAGGAATACACATACGATTAATGAAAAGCCTTTTAAGTAGCTTCTTAGGCAGTACCTGGACTTGTAAGCATAAGAGCAGGCTGCTTTACTGCACAGGTTTATGGCAGGTTGCTCGTTTAGTATCTGAGAAGGAAAGGCAACCCCCTTTCTCCCAGTTGTGCCGCAGAAGCAAGCCTGCACCCCGGGAGATCTGGCACCAGGCGTGACCCTGAGCACAGCGCCGTGCCGCAGGCCGTGTCCCGGCTCTCTGCGGCACAGCAACACCCAGAAACGCCGGCGTGGGCACGGAGGCTCTGCCACCGCGCCAGAAAGGTCTGAGGACCACAGGTCAGCTCAGCACTTAAGCACGTGCCTCTCGCTGGCTAAGCAGGTGCTTAACTGCTTCACGGGACTGATCCAAAACCCAGGCTCTGCGTTCCTGGGGCTGCCTCCCGCCCATTTCCCAGTCAGCTCTTCAGGGGTTGCATGACTGTTGTTATTATATTCTTGTACCCACTCTTACTAACCTCCTTTCCCTCCTCTCCTCAAGGCCATGGCAATGGGAATGATGACAGAATACTATCACTTCATCTTCACCACTCTGGTAACGTATCTGACCGGTGCGGACACCTCTGCCCTCGCTGCGGGGCGGGCAGGGGGCGGGGGGCGCTCTCAGGGGCAGGAGGACGGGCTGGGCACAGTGGTGGGGTGGGAAAGGGAAGTCTGGAACCCTAACAGCAGGCGAGAGCAGGGCCAGACTTAGCTTCAGGTTAGAATCAGACCGCAGTGATTTGGCTGTAACATCTCTGCAACTGCAGCACTGCCCGGGTGCTCGTTCTGAGAGACGTCAGCCTTTTCCTTCCCTGCTTTTGGACTGGCTCACTCCTTTGGAGCGGCTCCAGCTTTGCACAGATGTAGGTTCTGGTTTTATTTCCCCTCCCAGTCATTCTGATTTCAGTGCAGCTACCCACACGCTGAAAGATGAGCATATGTGTGAATTTGCGAGGTTGTAGTCCCACAGACAGGATTCGATGGGACCACGCTGCAGTCAGAACTGGGAATGTGTTTCTGTGTGTTTGTCTAGGTCTCCCTTAGGAGCCAGGAGCAGCCCTGCTGTGGTCGATAGTTCAGTACTGCAGGTTTATTTTGCATGAGAAGAACTCAGCTTGAAATTAACTCCACTGTCATTAAACACGGGCCAGTTCTTCTCTGACTCCAGGAGGCATTTTGGGTTTGGTTTGGGTTTTTTGGCATGACACTCTTGTTTCCCTTTAGGACGCTATTGTCTAGTATACTGTGGAATTCTGTGTGATTTTGAAAATCCAATTTATCTTCTTTCCTTTAGGAAAGAAACAGACTAACCCTTAAAAACTGCAAAATTTATTTTTCAAATGCAAAAGACATTTTAATTACCCCTGCTGCCATTATCTATTCCAGGCAGCTTTACGCATTTCCCAGATAACCTCCTATTAATCAGCCCCAGCTGAGCCTAGAGTACATTTCGTGTGTAGGTACAGCCTGGAGGTGGGAAAAGAAGAATTACAATAAATTAATAGATAAGCAATCACAATTAATGCCACTTTCCTGAAATAACAGTTATATCATGGGAAAGATATTTTAATCTGTCATTCCTTAAGGCAATGTTTTCCTAGCTTGCAATGCATGTGCTTCAGCTTCTACAGTACTAGACCCATGGGGTGCTAATGAATTAGTCTATTATGTTATACTGAATGTTTCTAAAAGGTCCCTAGTCAATACTGAGCACAGTGTATCAACACTTGGCATGAAATGCTTCAACATTTTGCTAGGCAGCAAGACTACAGTTCACTGACTTCAGCATGAAGAGTCCCATCAACCTTTTCCACCCGAGGAAGAGGAGGAACTCTTCCGAGACTTTGTCTGACGCACGCACAGCTTTAAATCCCGTGAAGTCCCCAGCAGTGACACCCCCCCTTAAACTCAACACTTCCAGGAATTTCTCAGCAGCTTGTAAAAAGGAGTCCTTGCAAACACAGAAGTTTCCCCACTGCCTGCTGCCACTTCTGGGGGTGTTTAGTCTGGAGAAGAGGAGGCTGAGGGGAGACTTCATCACTCTCTACAACTGCCTGAAAGGAGGTTGGGGCGAGGTGGGCATCAGTCTCCTCTCCCAAGTAACAAGTGATAGGACAAGAGGAAACAGCCTTGAGATGCTCCAGGGGAGGTTGAGACTGGGTATTGGGAAAAATTTCTTCACCAAAAGGGTTGTCAAACATCGGAACAGGCTGCCCAGGGGAGGGGTTGAGTGACCACCCCTGCGGGTATTTGAAGGGCGTGTAGATGTGGCACCTGGGGCCATGGTTTAGTGGTGGCCTTGGCAGTGCTGGCTTAACGGTTGGACTCGATGATCTCAAAGGTCTTTCCCATCCTAAAAGATTCTGTGACTCTGCCGCTTGCCCCATTACAGACAGGCAGAGCAGGAATCTCTTCCCATGCTTTGAGTCAACGTAAACAAGAATTCCACACCCAGCCCACCTTCTCCTGGTGAGCCACTAAACCAAACCAGTCCAGTTTTCCACTGGCACTGACAATCAGGTTCTCGTTAAACTCCTGCACCTGGAGCTCATGACACGACACAGGGGTGCCCGTGACCGAGTACACCAGAGGTTATTGCTCAGACAGCACTGTACGTGCCACGGCCCCCCCCAGCCACGGCCAGTCCTCCCAGCAAGCGCTGCCCCAGCAAAGCCCTGCCCAGACAGGGATCCTCGGCACGTTATCAGTGCCCCTCCTGGACGCCTGCTACTGCAGCTTCCTATTGCGGATGCTAGATCTGGGGTGGCTCCGACCTCGGCACCGCCGCCTCCGACTGAAGAACCAAAGCTGGGGATTTTAACTGGGGAGGTGGGAGAGCGCGGGTGAGAAAGGGGAAGAGCTCTACAGAAAAACCCAGAGTAAAACTTTCTTAAAGGTAGTAGGATGGAGGGGAGAATTAATCTGCAGTACAGAAAATAATGAGTGGAAAGGAGTGTAGATGAGGTGGAAAATAGAACCAGATGTTTCAATTTGTGGCTGTGCAGGAGCAGAAAATCCAGAAAAAATGGATGCAGCAATTCCCCCCACACCTCTCCGTGTTCCCACACTCAGCTCGTATCCTTAATTATCCTCTAATTCCAGGAGATGATATATGAGGTTGCAGCTGAGGTTCAAACTGGAAGCAAGAAGGGACCTGATGGGAGGTTGGATTCTATAGGAACTTCTGAAATGGAGGGTCAGTGGAGAGCAGCGGGGTGAGAGGGCACCGCGGTTCCGGGAGGGTCTGAAAGGCGGCCGCCAGCTGGGCGAGGGACACACAGTCATGTTCTGAGGGGGAAATGACCTGCTTTTGCAACCAAAAATTATTTCCCCATAGCAATTGCCAGAATACAAACTGAAATGTCTGGCAAAGAGTTATGAATCCTGAAAAAATAAATCTATTGCCACGGGCAAGGCAGGGGCCCGCTGCACACCCTCCCATCCAGATGCGATGAGCATCTGTCTGAGGTTAAACAACTGTCTCTGCCCTTAGTTGCTGTAAGTCATTTAAAAGTCAACATCATGGCCTGGTTTTCACAATGCCCTTTAACAAAACCTGGAGGTTTGTACTTGCAATTTTTCAGGGGAAAAAAAAAAAAAACACAAAAACCAAACAACAGAGACCCTGAACTCTGTTGTGGGTGTGATTAATGACTCGGTCCCTGCCTGCACCTGCAGATTAAAACACGGCATCCATCAGCAGCGTGCCTCGGGGGTGCAGAGTCAGAGGCCAGCACTTAAGGAAAAGATCAAACCCCCAAAGCTTATTAAAGCAAAACAGCTGTAAGAATTCCTGGCTCTCCCACCGAGAATGAACTCTCAGTTGCTGGCAAGTGCTGGGTTTGTTACGCTTTGCTTAGGGCAGTCGGGTTTAGGACCGGTGCTTTTCCAGCTCCCCCAGGGGCAGAACAGAGCTCGCTGCTGACGGGCGCCGTGTCTGGGTGAACCCACAGCACGGCTGTGCCCGACCAGTGCAGCCACGTTACACAAAACAGCAACGGCCACGTAACCTCATGCTGTATTTAAACTCTTTAATAATCCCTTGAGAGACCGTGAACATTGTTCCCGTATTCACCCCCCGCCCTCTATCACAGCAGACAGCGGTGGTGCCTTTCCGCTTCCCCACATTTTTAGTACCATCGAACACTTGCAGAAACGGTTCAGGATAAACTCTGGTTGAGTTGATGTCCCATCCAAGAAACGATTCTCATTAACAAAGCCCCCTCCCGACTGCCACTCTCCACCACTCGCGTTCACAACGCTTTTCGGGGCAGCTGCGGGGTGCTCTTGCCGTGCTGTCTAACCCCAAACTACTCAGACTAGTTTCTGCACGCTGAAGTTCATCCCTGAACTGAAGTTAATATTCAGACGTGCAGCGGAGCCAAGAGATGCATTAAAGAAGTGCACTCGCAGAGGCCTCCAAATGCCCCTCGCCCGCTGCCTGCCAAGCCATGCTCATGGGCTGGCTGCCAGCAGAGCTGAGGACTGCCTGGCTGTGGGGTTTTTAAATCATATAAAGGGCACTCTCATTCATTTGCAGACTGTGTAGGCTGGTCGTAATGTCAAGAAACGCGTCTTAGTTCCTCTTTGATAGCCGCCTGCAAATTGGCATTCTGCATCCAGAGCTACTCTGTCATCTGCAGTGCCCTGTGGGCTTCAGCACTCAGGGCAAACCCTCCGGGAAAGGCCCCGGGGAGCCCTGGATACAGGATCTCTGCCTTGCACACCCCCCCCCTTAGTCGGAAACCACTTTTTTCGTGGTTACAGACAGGGATTCTGGGTTTCTCCCCCCAGCTCACTTGCCTCTTTTATGCAGCGAGTGAGTTCTTTGGCAGGAGTTTCCCTCTGCTGTGTGTGGGTGAACCTGCACATATGACACCCGAATTCCACTAACACCTACGAGTCTCAGCAGGCAGCGCCTGATGGCAACAGACAGCACAATCCACCAAACTCGGGAGGGCATCATCCCTCCTCCCACCTCCTGCCGGCTCTGCCTTCTCACTTCAAACACAGACATGAACCGATGCAGAAAAGACAAACAAAACAAAGCTAAACAAAATGTTTAAACCGGTTTCTCTCTTTTAAGGATCTTTATGCATTAGACCTAGAACCATATCGCTACTCCGGAGTGAACCTGACCGGCTTCCGGATCCTCAACGTGGAGAACCCGCACGTCTCCTCCATCATCGAGAAGTGGTCCATGGAGCGGCTGCAGTCGGCGCCCAAGGCGGAGCTGGGGCTGCTCGACGGCGTGATGATGGTATGAGAAGTTTAAACAAAGCATGGGTGAAGTCTGAGAAGCAGACCGGAGTGGTGGGGAAGGCAAGAACATTCGTTAAGGCCTAAATGTTATTTTTATTGCTGCTTGTACTAGTAACAACTCATCCCAGGTATCTTCCCCAAGGCAGTTACTTGCACTCTCTAATAACCGTCCCTCAGATGCAGTGAGTTCGGCGGGTGAATCCCCTGCTGCCGGGTTAACACTCTCCTTTTGCAGGCCCAGCTGCCAACAGATTTGCCAGTTTGGAGAGCTGTGCTCCTTGCCTCCCTTCTTGCCAGTAAAAAACCGCCCCCCGGCCCAGCAAAATCCAAAGCTTTCAGCTCCGGAAGGGGCCGAGCACTGGGAGCACCCAGGAAAGGGCATTCTCTCTCTTCGGGTGCCCCCCACAAGTCCTCTTTCAGCTCAGGGCAGGACAGTCGCCATGCAGGTCCCTCCGCCCGGCAGCCAGGGCCTCTCCCTCGGGGGCTCGCGGGATCCAGCACCCCCCGCACAGCCCCGAGAGCGGCCGAGCGCCCAGCGCCGCCCCCAGAGCGCGGCCGCGGCTGGCCTGGGCCAGGCCATTTGCCGAGATTGATGCAGGGAGAAAGAGCCAAAGCTATGCCCAGAGACGGGCTTTGCGGCAGCTTTGATGACTCCTTTTAGGGTCTGATGGCAGCTCTGCTCCGCTGAGTTACTGCTCGGGAGGTGCAGCACCTGCTCGCCCATCTGTCTTCCCTGCGAGGCTGTCTCCGACCCCCGTAATTGCTGACTGGCTCCCTCCTTCCCTCTCCCTTTAGATCTGCCAGAACCAAGCCCACAAATGGCAAAGCCTCTCAGACTTTCACCTTGAAATGGCTCCTCATATCCCTCCTGTTCTTTTCTTCCTTAGAGGAGAGCCCCAGCATCCTCCTTTGGCCGCTGCCTTTCCTGCAGCGTTGCCCACAGCTAGGCATCGTGTTGGCTGCCGGGTGCTGGGCTCCCCCCGCCGCCGCCGGCTCCTCTCCCATTCCCTCTCTGCTGGCTTCTTCAGAGGGGCTCCTGCCTTTCATTTGTGTCTGCCCCGTGTCTGCCCCAGCGGGGCCCTGATCTCAGCTGGGCACTCCAGTACGTAATTCACCATGAGATCACTTGGACATACTCTGGTACCCCCTCTCCCCTACCCAAACGTACAAACCCCGTCCCTGCTGCCGTAAACACAAGCCCACGGGAGGCAGGTCGGGTGCCTGCTCTTCCTGCTCCGGTGTGCGGGCGAGGAAGGTCACGGGGATGGCTGCCAGTGTTGGAGGATTTTCTCCACAGCCACGTCCTGTTAGGTATTTGCCCAGTTGTTTGCTGTATTGTTTTGTTTTATTGTGTTTTATTACGTTGCTGCTACACTCACATCTGTTTTGTAGCTTTGTGAAGCCAGCAAATAATGTATTTTCACTAGGAGGTCTTACCATATCGGAGTGAAAAATAAATGCAATTCTCCTGATCAGTGTTTGGAGGTGAGATGGGGCATCTCAAATTGAATCTAAAGCCATCACAGTATATGGAAGGAAAAAAAAAAAAAAGAAAAGAAAAAAAAAAAGGTTCTCCCTAGTTCAAATCACTGAAATGCAGGAAGATGTTACAAATCTGTGAGGTCCCGATTTCAGTGACAGTTTGGGTCCTTTTGGAAAATTCTACGCCCATGTACAAGCCATTTAACTTCTCTGTTTCTTATTTCTCCATGTATAAAATAGTGTGGATAATATGCTCTCATATAGGGTTTTTTTTTTACACTCAGACAAAACAGACTAAATGAGAAAATTCTGTTACTATCTTCTACATTTAGCAATAGCTATTCCTTGTTTGACAATACAGCAGTAAATGCACTAGAAATAACCAGAATGGATGTGCACAGACAAATGACGTTTTCACAATCTCTGATTTTAAGACAGAACTTGGATCTTCTAGTCTAAAAAGCCACGTAACAGATAAAAGCGCTCGGGAGGCTTTGTCATGTGCAGAGCTACATGTTTTGCAGACGTGTTTTGCATGAGAGGTCAGCCTAGAGGTTTATACAAGTCTGGTGTGAAAGCAAAGGGGTTCAGGGCAATCCCTTGGGGTGCCCCTGCCTGTCCCCAGAGCCCAGCCCTGTCCCCGGGGCGGGTCGCAGGGTCAGAGCCCCGGAGTGGGGACAGCCAGCGTGGGCCAGGACAGAGAAGCCCTCGGGTCTGGGGGTGTTGGGCAGGGGGTAACTGAGGGGTTCTTGCAGCTTCTCCTGTGACACGTTAGGGATCCCCCACTGCTTCCCCGCTCTGGAACTGCTAGCGACACAAATGCTGTTCCCCTTTACTTCAGACAGACGCTGCCCTCTTGTACGACGCGGTGCACGTGGTCTCTGTCTGCTACCAGCGCGCCCCTCAGATGACCGTGAACTCCCTGCAGTGCCATCGGCACAAAGCCTGGAGGTTCGGCGGCCGCTTCATGAATTTTATAAAAGAGGTAAAAGCATGATTTGCAACCATAATTGCTTCCTGCTAATGCAAAACTTCCCCAGCAGAAGCAGCGCAGCTGCTCAGCGCAGAGGTAGAGACGGGGGCAGAGAGGCTTGGCAGCTACAGGGGTATAAAATATCCCCCGCCTGGGCAGGTACAACTGGATGGAAGCACAGATACACACCAGGCTGCTGAGTGCACCCAGAAAGGAAAAATCCTGTCTTTGCCTTCAAAGTAAGATCTACGCAGCCATGCCAAAACCTCCCCCACAAGCTGCAATCTCCCATGCTGTCACTGAGACCTGCCCTGGCCTCTTCTTGCGTCAAGAGCAGCTGGACCACTCTCTCCCGAGGCTGTTTCTTAGCTGAGCAATAGCCATTTGCCTTTTACAGGAACATTTGCTCCGGGTCCACAAAGGGCTTCAGTGTCGCTAAATCCCAGCGGCGAAGCTGGCAGCGCCGCGCGTCCCGGCCTGTGTGCTGATCAACGGCGCTGGCAGAGCGGCCGATCCACCAAGCAGGGAGCCCTGGGAGCGAGGAGGCAGCTTCGTTCCTTCTCTGTTTCCAGCCACTATGATTTCTCAGTGTTCGGCCCACGTAATTGTTTGTTTGCATCTGGCTTAGGCACGCAAGCAGCCTCAAAGAGGGGTGTTGATGAGCGGGGAGCGCACCAAGGGTGGGCAGCAGAGGGAAGCTGCAGCCAGAGGTGGCCGGTCCGCCCAAAGACCCCCCGAGCACCCAGCCCCGCACTCACACCCCCCTGCTGAAAGGAGCCCTCACATGAGAAAAAAAATGAAGGCAGAGCTGCCAGAAACATCTTTGTGAGAAAACCCCCTTATCCACCCTCAGGCCTTTTTAAACTTCTACGCCTGTGGCTCTTCACATGGCAACTTGTGAAACCGGCTGCAGCACTGGATTTGTGATTGGGCCATGTTTGAAAGGCTGGCTATAAAACCCCCTACGGTTTTTAAACAGAAGAGCAGAAGTACACAGTTAATCGTTGGTCTGTGTTGCTGTATCACCACCTCCAGCCCCGGCGGGCCCTGGGCACCGGCACCAGAGCGCAGTGGCAGCCGCTGCCCCAGCCGCACCGAGCGCCCGCCCGGGCGTTAGGGATGAGAAGGGAAGAATGATTCCCAGTACAGGGACACAAGGAACTTTTTTCTTAATAGGCACTGAAGATGCTCCCTCTCTCCTCTCTCTGTCTCTCTCCCCTTTTTCGTGTTTTGTTCCTTTCTGCAGAAAGCCGCTCCAGCTGGCTGCCAAAAGAGAGTGTAAATAATTTGTTTGGTTGGCTCCTTTTGCAAATTACCCTGAGCCTTACACTCCATCGCCTGCCTGTTGTTTCCCCTTCTGGCACCATGTCAGCTCGTTGCAGGGATAAGCTTCCTCCCCGTTGCAATCAGAACACACAGTAATTGCTCTCTCTAAACCCAGCAAAGACCAAGCAGGGCGCCGAGGGTGCCCCGCCACAGCCACCCGCTCCCTCGGCCCTGGGCTCCCCGCGGCCCCAACACCGCTCGTTCCTGGGGCACACGCCGGCCGTGGCCCCCACCGAGCTGGCCCGCGGCAGAGCTGTCACTCCCGGGGGGAAGCCCGGCTCCTTCTTGCTTGCCGAGGGGCAAAGGGGCCAGGACGGCGTCCCTGCCAGCCCCAGGGAGGCCACCCTCACCCCCTGTGCTGTGAGGGTCCCTGGGAAGCAGGGGTCAGGCCAAGCGCAGGGGCAGGAGGTGAGGGGATGCTCCAAGCTGGCACTTGAGTTCTCTGGCAGAGACAGGGCTGACCCCAGCGGGATCCGAGGCGATGCCACGCACCCCAGCTCGGTACCGGAGCCGTGCCACCCACCAGCGCGGGGCTCAGCACCCACCTGTGTTTGCTCAGTCGGGTACATTCAACACCGCGTGTTTTCCCCGGCTCCCCGGGGGCCCCGCAGGCGGCGCGTCCCACAGGCAAACCTCCTGCCCAGCAAAATGAGCAAACCCAGCACACCCTCCCCAAAACCCAAGGGTGGCGAGGCTGGGAGGAGGCTGTCCTCACTCCTCAGGAATTAATGGGGAAGAGCCAGAGGAGTGCATTGAATGGGAAAGACGCCAGTCCTTCCGCCCGAGGACGCATCGTGCCACCTGCATCACACTGGGGTACTTCAGGCTCCCCCACCCATAAAGGAAACACTCATCGGCGAGGAGCACACACGGAACTGCTGAGGGAAGGAGCCCGAGTCCCAGCTCTCCACTGCAAAGCATAAACCACGTCAGCAGCCTGGCACTGCCACGGAGCGTCCTCCCCGGGCCGGGCGCTGGCGGCACGTCCTTGCGTTGTCCCTGGGCAGAGCTGGCGCGTGCCCCATGCTGTCCCCCCTGCTCTGCTGACACAGCCAGCGCCTGCTGTGTGGGGCTCTCACCTCCTAAATCAGAGGGAGTCATGCTGGTGGTGCTGCAAAGTGTGCAGTGGAGAAAAAACAGAATCACAGAATAATCTTGGTTGAACTGAATCTAGCCATGAAGCTCCTCCTAAGAGCAGGACTAGCTCCCAAGCCAGACCAGGCTGGGCAGGACCTCGTCCAGCCAAGCGCCGGCGATCTCCAGGAACGGGGCTCGCCCAGCCCCAGCTGCCCCGTGCTGACGCTGCCCAGAACTGACACGGGGGCGCAGCCATTCAAGCCATCAAGCCTGATAACAAGCTCTTGGGCTCTGCTGCTCCACCTTCCACCTGAGAGGAGGGAGGGAAGTGTTCAGGACATTTTAGCTTCCACACACCTTGGAAGCATCAGCAGGTTCACACAGAAAAAGGTTTATTTATGAACTTGACTGGAGTTGTCCCAAATCCAGGCTCCCTGCAGCCCGGCATTTATCAGGACCACAAGGATAAACGCGGCACACAAGGATACCGTGATAAATGCAAGCAGTTTTCTACTGAGTCATCAAGTCCTGCAACAGCTGGCGAACACAAAAGGTGTGAACAAAAATTGTAGCAAAGACTGCAAGAGAGTTAAAATCTCCAGCTCTGTCTGCAGTCTGAACAGTGACGGAGATGATTATTAATTAATCATGCTCTTTAGGGAGAAAGAACCAGTATAAGGACTAATTAAAAGAACATACAGCGGAGGGCAAAAGATTATTTATGATACCAAGTAACAGCCCTGCTCCTTTTTCTCTCTTCCACAGGCCCAATGGGAAGGATTAACAGGACGGATTGTTTTTAATAAAACTAGTGGTTTACGGACAGATTTCGATTTGGATATCATCAGCCTCAAAGAAGACGGTCTTGAAAAGGTAGGCAGGGTTTGTCTTATCTGCATACGGCTTAGTCTAACTCTGATACTCGGGCCACAGAGATAATGGTTGGGGGTTGTATTGTTTCCAGGTTTTCTGGTTTTTATATAAAAGGATATTTATTTTGTGGGATTTCTCAGATCCTTTTCCTCAGCCATGACTCACTAGCCCCGCAGCGACGATGAGGGATTACAGTTACTAGCTGCAGAAGTGCTTGTGGCACTTTCCTGGGATGGTAGAAGCAGAAGAAACTTTCTGAGCAGCCATTAACCTCTCCTTGCCCAGGCCAGCAGTGGAAGGAATAAAGCCCGTCTCATGCCCCTCTTGCTGGGCTGGCTTACAAAATGTTTTTTTCTCTGAAGAGGCAACAGCTCTTGAAAGCATCTCAGTGTGATTTCCCCCAATGAAAATTACCTCAGGCTTGGAAATGGCACCAGCTTATTACAGCCTACATTTTGGAGGGGGATGCAGTCTGTATTTTCATTTATTTCTGCCCGGTGTTACCTAAGGGATGGTAAGAGAAGCGAAGTGCAGTTTAGCCTGGCTGGCTGGAGGGGTCTCGCCTGCTGCCCGGCCACCCAGAAGCGACGCGGCGCAAAATCTGCAGCCTCAGATCCTCCTAATGAGTGGAAACCTCCTCTGGGCACAGAAATGCGACGCTGATGGGCAAAGCTGACTCTCAGGTGTTCGTGGGGATTTAATTTCCCTTTATTCAAATACTTTTTTTTTTAAAAAAAAAAAAAAGGGCAACATGCAAAGCATTACAGCTCCTAGACCATGGTTCCAAGGTGAGCAGAGCCCTTTAGGGCAGCAGGGAGCAGCGAGTGGCAGCTCTGCGCAGGGCGTGCAGCGAGCGGTGCCCAGGGGCTGGGCTCCAGCTGGCCCCGAACCCGGCCCGCGAGGCCACCGAGGGCTCCGGAACCCGAGCCCTCTGGGAGGAATTCCGAGTCCCCGTTCTGCTAAAGGTGTCTCGCAGATTTACAGGAGAAACTTGGCGCCCGGGTGGCAAATGCCTTTCTAGTGCAGAGTCTGCTTCTCGACACGCACCAGGTGCCTCCTGGCAGCGAGGGCCGAGTCCCGTCACCTCTGGGCACGGAGACAGGTTCTGCAGCCGCGGGAGAGGCCGCCCGGGCGCAGGGACAGGGAGTTTTCAATTAACCGGGCAGCGAGCGGCCCCACAAGCACAGATGCCCTTTCCAGTTAAGGCTGGGGAATTAATCACCCCGTGCAGGTAGGCTGCCCCCGAGGCAGCACTCTGACCAAGCCCTCCCCGTTTGGAGGGGACGGATCCTGCGGGGCGAAGCTCCCCGGGACCAAACAGCTCGACTTCCCCACCCGCCTTTTTTACGGTTTGTTTTTCCTTCGCTTTGAAAGAAATTGTTGCCACGCTTTCACACCACAGCAGCAGTTCTTCGCTTCATGTGAAAAGTCCCAAGGTCACCACGGCACACTCCTAGTGGGTATCTTTTGGTGCCAAATACAGAATAAAGAAAACATTTCCAATAAACCCAACGACCTTCACTCTCAGCTGTGATCAGGAGAGGAGCAGGGGAAGACGCCACCTTCTCACAAGAACCGAGCATGAGATGAATTTTGTACCTTGACAACTTCTTTTTTACAAACTATCTGTTTATAGAGTCTAAACCAAAAAAGACCAACGCATCTTTCTGAAGTACAGTGGCACCGACGGCCTGCCAGAGAGCTGCGTTGGTAGAATAATAGAAAAACGTGGATTTGGATACCATGTGAATCTAAATGTTTAAGTACAGCCACAATATCTATCTGTCAGACTAATACTCCTCAGGTGTACTGGGGAATAGCTGGCACCAGCTGTATTTATTGCTATTGTGCGTCACATAAAGCCCAGAAGAAGCTGCCGCACCTCGATACACGCTCTGTACAGCCATTCGACTCTTGTCTCCAATAATTCTGAGATTTCATGGGTCCCGCTATTATTTTTTTGAAAGCTTCTTGACAGCTCGAGAGGGGTTTTGAAGTATCGATGTCAAATCTCTGTTGAAGCTAGGTCTCTGTCAATGGTTAATCTGAAATAACAAAACGCCAAACTACAAACAAATCCCCTACAGATTGTGCATTATGTATAACAGCTTCTGTTTGCTGAGCTTTAGGATTGAACTCCTGATCCTTACACCTCCTGGATGTTCCAGGGATTACAGGAGTATTAACTAAACCTAATTACATGTAGTTTGACTATCTGACTTGCACAGTTCTCTTAATGCACTTTTTTTTCCTTTTTCTTTCCTTTTTAAATATTTTAAACTGATTAATTCGGTCTTAAGTGCCATGTATTTAATTTTCTTAAAGAAAACTTAGCAAGGCATAGTTAACTGAGTCTGCAGTGCTGCTAGCAGAGGCCTCTTATACTTGCTTCTCTTTTCCCATGCACAACCATAATCTTTTGATACTGCAGCTGTTGTGATCGAAGGGAGATATGGGGGGGTTGCTTAGGTTTCACCTGAAATATTCAGAGCCTTTCACAAAATTCTTGGAAACTCTTCTAGAATTTATGATTTTTTTTTACTTTTTTTTTTTTTTTGCCAGGCAGTGTTGCTCATTACAAAGTCTCTTTCTGGGCATGCAGTAAAACCAAGTTCTCCCCTTGGACTGCGGAAGAGGATGAAGAATCTTAAAAACAGCAATAAATAAAATATTGGAAGTTCCTGGCTCCCCAGTGGGTTTGAGCTGTCTGCCTTTGGTTTCTCACTGAGTCCCACCTCTCACTTTGACCCTACAGATGGATCGTTCTGTTCCCATTTCCATGTGGGGTCTGGTTTTTCTCACTGTCAGGCTGGCTATATGGCCACCCAGCTCTGTTTACTGGCAGCAACCCTTTATTCCTCCAGCTTTCCAGACATTTCACCTCACCGTCACAGTCCTGTAGCCAGTCCTGCCGTCAAAGTTCGTTCTAAAGCCTCCCCTGCACCGCGGAGATCAGGTTAACGGGCTCAGAGTGGCCCCGATGACTTCTCTTAAATAGAGACATGTTTTGCTGTTTCTGGATCAATAGATTTCTTTTAAGTCTAATAATTTATTAAAATTGACAGCTTGAGAAAACCAGAGCACCTCAGACTGATGAGGGACACAGCTGCCTGTGCCCGTGCCTGAGGGAGTCTGCTCCATTCCCTCCCGCGGGTTTGCTGCCAGGACTGAGCTGTCCCCTCGCGGTGGCGTCCCCTGACGGGGTGACCAGGGCCCCGCCAGGGGGACCTGTTAGAAACACCCCAGAGCGCAGGAACGGTCCCTGCAGGGATTTGCAGAGCTCGTCGAGTCATTTTTAATTCTCCCCACCAAAGTGAATGGGTGGGAAAATAAAAAGGAAACAGTCTAGTATTTGTGGGGTTTAAATTCTGTTCTGCTTTATCCTCGCCCAGAGTTAACTCTCGAGCGCGGTTTGGCCGTTTGCTCCACACAGCCCCTTTGCAAACCGCTCACTCAGCCCCTACATTCGTCATCGTGGCACCTTCCTTCAGGCACCTGCCTCGGAGGGCAGCGCAGGGGCTGGTTATGACACGTCTGCAGCTGGAGCGACCTGCAGCTGAAGTTAATGCCGATCTTCTGCTTAGGTGATGCAAGATGATTATTTCAGCCTTGCTGCTGTTTACTGCAGATGAGAGAAGGAGGCTCCATCTCCCAGGCCAGTAGGACACTGAGAGCAAGTGAGGAATGTAAGCTGGGTGTTGACACGGTGTTTGCTTGCTTCGTTTCAGGTTGGAGAGTGGAGCCCTTCTGATGGCTTGAACATCACAGAAATTTCCAAAGGACGAGGGCCTAACGTCACAGACTCGCTGAGCAACAGATCGCTAATTGTCACCACTGTCCTGGTAGGACACACCCGTCTTTTTCCTCCACCCACAGATCTCAGGGATATCCGATACCTCTGAGAACTCCCAGCAGATCCCAGCACAGATCTGCAAGTCCCTCTGGAAAGCCGAGCAAGGGCACAGGGAGCCCCTGCGAGCAGGCTGGCTCAGCAGGGCATGGCCATGCCCCAGCACCGAGCTGACCCGAGCGGGCTGGCAGCCGGCGAGACTGCCACGGGCCAGCTGGAGCCGCGCGGGCTCCCCGTGCCCAGGAGGCTGCTGCTCATCCCGGCCGAGCTCCTCCATGGCAGCTCTGCCCGGCCAGGTGCCCTGTCCCCGCTCGCTCCCTGCCTGCTGGAGGGCGCGGGAGGTTTGTGGGCGCTGAGCTCCAGGACACCCCAAGTCGCCCGTTTACCACCAGTGCCGGGGCAGGCGGTGGCCCAGGGGCAGGCGGTGGCCCAGGGCAGGAGCTGTCAGATGGGCGGCGTTGCAGACAGCAGCATCTTACAGAGAAAATACTGACAACAACCAGGCACCCCGGCTTAGCTGTGACAATCGTGTTTCTTTCCCCCTCTTGAGTATGTATTTGATAAACTAGCTAAGAGTAATGCCGTTATCCAGCACACCACGGTTGCTTAACAGGTCTCCTCCGCTTCCAACTGTCACGCTGCATTTTGCTCTCGCATTCGCTATTGGATTTGACGGCAGGCATCAGATCAGAATGAATTTTTATTTACTATCTAATGAATTACGACTAGTGGCGTTGGTTTCTGTATGGCTGTATTACACAGTGCAGGCTCAGGGCATGTCACCAAGAAGCAACAAAAAATATCGACCCTTGGACAGCCTCCCCACAACTGGGCCTGAATCACGGGTTTGCCTGTGGAAATTTTCCGGCCCTTTTGTCTTTGGTATTTTCAGGGAACATAAAGGTAGAGATGGTAAGGAGCCAGCTGGGGATGCATTCCCCACTCCAGAGCAGTGTGACCCTCCTGACGTCCCTACCTTCCCAAAATGATGTGACCTGACAGGGCCACGGTTTGTACCGTGGCAGGAACGGGACCAAGAAAGCGCCCAGAGAACAGAGAGAGGAAACTCCCGGTCCGGGGCAGAAGCAGGGCTGGAACCAAAGGTCTTGTATCCCTCGGCAAGGGGTCAGCAGGATGGGAGCAGGCAGAATGTGAGCCAAACACAGACGCTGCCGCTTCCTTGCAAATTAGCCACTCGCCTAACGAACCTCCCGTTCACCACACAGTAGCTGTTCCAGTGAAACACTTCCCCTGAGGTCCCTCTCCCCGAGCCAGCTCATGGACTACGCTGAGGAACACGCCGCTTCCACATCTCACCACTGGAAAAGTTCCTTCCCTTCCCAGTCCAAATATTCTCTGCCATGTCAGTCCCGCCATGGGTCGTGCCTAGAGGGGAGCCTGCACAGGCCCCCATGGCAGCAGCGGTTCCCCACTGGTTACAGTCACCGAAATGAATCCTCGCATCAGGAGTTACTGCAGGAGCAGTGACAGAGCACAAGGCACTTAAACCATCCAACATGCATCAGAGGGAAGGGCTGCTCCTGCTGAGACCCTTGCAGCAGCGAGTGTGCACCCAGGCACCGTACACACACAGCTCGGTTGGTTTATTTTCCTTTGGCATTTAAGGATTCTCGGTGTGTTCAGAAAGCGGAAATTTAGGTAGTATTTTTCTAACAGGCCAAATGGAGAGATCTGTCATGTCAGGTTTAGTTCATTTTAGCAAGGCAACCTAAAGTGCTGCTTTTAGGGCAACATGAATAACACATCACGTCAGGTCACTCCCAGGTGGAGGCTCAGTCTCAGCTCTAGGGGAACTGTTCAACCTGCACTGCGGGTGGATAGAACTCCACAGAAGTTGTGTAATGACTCCTCTTCCCCCGCTCGCTTTAATTAGAGCTGCGTGCAGCACACTGGGGAAAACTCCCGGGCTGGGACGGCCGGGAGCGCTGCGGGGGGAGATGGTTCCACAGGCGGCAGCAGAGCTGCCCCCACCGAGAGCCCGGGAAGCTGAAGGGCAGCGGTTCAGGCCTGGAACACCGGTGGGGGCAGACGGAGAGGCCTGAGGGAAACCAGAAAAGATGCATCTTGTCAGGAGTGAGATGCATGGCCAGAGCTGTGGAAACGTCTGTGTCTAGGGTGCGATAATCACCGTACCTCAAAGACCACAGCGTAATGCAAAATGATGGAGCCAGGAGGAGACCTGTCAGCCATCTGCCTTTGACAGGCTTCTTTCGGGCAGCATTTTCATCTCGTACTCCACAAGCATGTACAAATTACATAATGTACGAGGGTGGGATCAGTTCCTATTAATTGTGTGGTTCATTGGGCCTGCACACGTGCCACAGGGTATCTACCTCGAAACCAAAGCGATCCTGCAATTCCCTTGCCCACAGGAGAAAATGTGCTTAGATCCAAGTTCTGCAATAATTGCATTTTCATATACTGGATTCTAAAAAAGAAAATACAACCCTAAATTTCATGTGCATTTGTAACACCTCTTTATACTTTTGCACTGGTGTAAATGACTGTAGAAAAGCCATAGGAGGAACCTTTAAAAGGAAAAGCATGAAAGGTTATTTTTTCCCCTTTTGATCATATTGCAGTGACTTGTTGGAAGAGAAATATTACCCCAGCAGCCAGCGCCACTCTCCCCAAGCAATATGGGAACTGTGAAGTTATGAAATTGAGGGCACCTTCACTGAGAAATCGATTAGCAAACCGAGAGAGCTTGTGAATTGGATGTCTGGCCATTTTCAGTAATAAATTGTGAAATAGTCCGTGAATAAGTGGTTCACAGAGTTCAGAATTACCCCCTAGGAAATGTTTGAGACCTGCAGATACATTACTGAAGCGAGTGGCGTCCTAATGTTCAGTGCTTCGGCTGTTAAATATGTATGTAATCCCTACAGCGCTTCCCCAAATTAATAGTGCTTTATGGCTGCTCTGGAGCCGGTGTATTTATATCAAGATCCATAGATTCAGCTGATCCACAAACAGAGCACTAATTCCAGAGAAGAAAGCCGAGGAGGAGGCCAGGGAGAGGAGGATTTAACCAAGCTGCTCATGCCAAGCTAAACTCTATAGGCGTAATGGTATCAGATTTGCTTTATAATTCTGCAAATTGAGTTTCACGTGCTCTCTCGTCCCCTCCCTACCTGCTTTGGGGCCGAGCGGGCACCTCCTGCCCACTTGCCCCGGGGCTGGCAGAGGTCTCCCAGGGCAGAGGCTGGCCCAGCCCTGCGCCGGGTCCCGGGGCCCCTCCTGGGTGCACTCCCCAGGGCAGGGTCCCTGCGCTCCCCCAGACTGGGCATCTCAGTCCTGCTCTGACTGGGGCTCCAGACCTTCCCCCCCACGACCCCAAGCCCCCCCATCCCTGTGCAATAATACCACAGGGATCCCAGCAACATGGCTCGCTCGCCTGAGCAAAACGTGAGCCCTCCCCTTGCTGGCCACCCTGCGGGCGAGGACAGTAGCCTTGCAGGTATCAGCTGCTGTTGATACCTCACCCTCCCCGGCCTTCTAGCTCTTCCCTGCTGCCCACCATCTTTTGCCATTTCCATCTGTCCTCTACATGTTTTCTCCCTCGGGCTCCCCAGCGTCCCTCGTCCTCGGTGACTGCCCAAGCCTGATAGTCACCAAAGGGCTGTGCAGTTTGCTGTGTCTTGGCTAACTTCATTTGCCAGTCTCCACTAAAGAGGCAGGGATCCGGAGGGCAAAGCCTGCTGCACAGCACTTTATTCGTTATTTTTCACTTGTGCTGGTGCTTGGCACTGCTGTGACTAAAGACACCCCCCAACCTTCCCACGGCAGACGGCAGAAACTCTCCCTGGGCAGCTGTGGGGCCCCAGATCCCCTCATCGAGTGCTGGCAAAGAGGAGAGTGAGCTGAAGTGGGGAGCGAGCTGAAGTGGGGAGCGTTTTGGGCTGGGCACCAGCCACGCACGGCTCCCTCGCCCTGTATCTGCAGCGAACAACAGGTACTGCAGTGCGGACCGGCTGCGCTGCTGCCGTGCAGGACCGGGGCTGAATCTGTCCCCCCCTTTTATTGTTTCTCTACACTCTCCATTTTCAGAGCATGAAATGGTTATTTTTCTCCCTGAAATCCTACCAAATGGAAAACAGTTGGCTGCTCAGAAGAGACAAAATTAAATTTTGTGGGGTAAACAAGGTTGCTAATTAGCTGATGTACTGTGCAAAGTTAATTTATTCCCAACATGTCACGGTGCCAACCCTGCCTGGAGAGCCTGCGCCTCGCAGCTCAGGCTGACCCGCAGGGGTGGCCCGGCCTCGGGTGGGAGCTGGGACCCAGCTGACCCTTAATGGGGACCTTTTGCCCTCCCATGTGCAGGAAGAGCCCTTTGTCATGTTCCGTAAGTCCGACACGGCCCTGTTCGGGAACGACCGCTTTGAGGGTTACTGCATCGACCTCCTGAAGGAGCTGGCCATCATCCTGGGCTTCACCTACGAGATCCGGCTGGTGGAGGACGGGAAATACGGGGCGCAGGACGAGAAGGGGCAGTGGAACGGCATGATCAAGGAGCTCATCGACCACGTGAGTGAGGCCCGGCTGTCCCTGGGGCTTCCCGCCTGGGGTGGGACGGGTGCCCACCGCGCGCAGCGAGCTCCTCTCCCCGCCCGGGCTCTGCCTCGCACCCTTTGTCTCTTTGTCTGCCTCTTCCAAATATTCATTTGGAGCTTCTGAAAACGGACATTCTCACGGTACAGAAACGGGCTCCGTGGCTTCAGGCGCAGACTCTCCCCGCGGGGCTGCTGCCGGCCGGCGGGATGCGGGCTGGGCACGCAGGGAGGAGGGACGAGGCTCCTGCGGGCCCGGCCGCATGCCGGCTCCCCGGCCACAGGCAGCGTGTCCTCTCTCATCCCCCGAGGACGCTGCTGCTCTGCCCCTGGCAAACATGGGCCAGGGCACACCACTGAGGTGGCTCAGGGCCCCCGACGTGTCCCAGACACAGCCCAGCTGAATCCAGATGATGCATCCAGACTGCAAGAGCAGGTGTGCAGGGGACAGTTTAATACCCTTTTTAAAAAAACAAAACAAAACAAAACAAAAAAAACCCGCAGCCTATTTTCTAAATCTCCTGGGACACAGAGCTCCCCGTGCAACAGAGCAGCTGTGCTTTTCCTTCCACGGCCATTCTCAAAGCCCATTAAACACCAGTGAAACTGTCGTGGCAGCTTTACTCTCGCAACCACCAAAACGTCACCTAGTCTGTGAAACCTCGACGCGGCCAGAGGTTGCTCAGTTTCCTAATTAGATATTTTGCCTCCAGCACATCCTGCGATCCCAGAAGCCCAGTTAGGGAGGTGAGGAAAGCTGATGTTTTTATGAAAACCAGAAAAGGTCTTGGGAAGAAGAGATCAGGACAGAATTGATCTGTGATCTCTGCAGCACGGGCAGCAGCATAAGCAGTCCTAGAGCTGCAACACAGCTCTGCTCCTCACTGTCCTGCTCGAGTGGTGCAGCCCTTGGACCGCCTCTCAGGTTCCTGGCTACATTCTGAAAACATCGCCTAAGCAGAAAAGAGACAAAAATAATCCCACGTACGTAGCAGCTGTGATGCTCTTACAGTTCGTGTGAGAAGAATGTATTTGCTGGGTGAGTCACTTCAGTAAATGGGCTGCGCTGTGAGCAGATAACAGCGCATTGTCTGGCGGGGAGACGCGGAGCCGGGGCTGGGGGATCGAGGTTGTGCTTCCGGATTTGGCTTGTCTGCCCTAAATGACATTGGACAAGATGCTTCTGTGCAATACTTCCTCCGTCTGTAAAACGCAGATGATAACGTTACGTCCCTTACAGAGACAAAGCGATGCTTAATCAGTGTGCGAGGAGCGCTGCAGTCCTTAGATGGCTCAGCCCCGAGAGGCGGGAGGGGCGGCAAGGGCACGCAAGGACAGCCCTGGGGGGGGCAGGACTCTGCGTCGCACAGGGGAACACACCACAGGCTGGGAAACCGACCTTTGTACTTCCACTTCCAGAAAGATCCATACACTTCAAAGCAGAGATTTCCTAGTCTCTTCCCCACCAGCCTTGCTACGTCAGACACGCGACAGCGTCCCCGTGGAAGAGACCCGCGGAGCAGGAGGCGCCTGGCGCAGGCAGGATCGGGCCCTCGGCGCGTGCCCCGGGACACGGCTCCTGCTGCTGGGAGCACCGTGCCTGTCCTGCGGGCGCTGGGGGAGTCAGTGCGCCAAAGCGGGACATCGGATATCGGGAATAGAAGCCAGACCGTCACTTAGTGCGAGCCATGTCACTTCCAGCATCCTGCAAGATGTCGCAGGGCTCTCGGGAGGCTTTTCAGCCATTCCCAAAGCTGCGGTCAGCTCCAGGAGAGAGCCCGGGGAGCGGCTGTGGGGAAGGACCTCAGCAAGTAACAGGAAAATCCTGGTCAACCTGCATTAAAGTGAAAAAGCAAACATACAGCAACAGGAAGGAGCAAATCCCCTCTTCTTGCGAGTTTTACTGTAGCATCGAGTTTGAACTCTAACAGGTGTGGCTGGGTGCGTGCCTTGGAGTGATTTATAACCATTGCCCAAACCCCACATGAAGCCATTATTTTCTTTATCTGCATGTCATTGCTTTTTATAGCAGTGTTTATGTAAAGCATTAAAAAGTGAAACTGCAACCAGATGGGGCCCTTCCTCAGCAGCAAAGCATCTTCAAATCGTGTGGGGAAAGGAACAACTGATTGGCACTTTGCAATGGGAAAGTTCAAACTTACTTTGCACCTAGTAGGAAAAGTGTTGGAGGCAGCATTCAAACAAAGTTGTAGTGAAGAAAACAGGGCTGCCTGCACTGTGAGTTTGGTATCTGGGCTGGTTTTCCTCCATATTTGGTGTCTCCTTCTCATAAAAGAATTGGGATCATTCAAGGCAGGAAGGGTTCTGTGAGGCCCAGACACCCAGGCCAGGATTAACCCCACGCAGAGTCTGTGCAGTGCTGAACACCCGCTTAACCCTGCGAGCAGAGCCCCCGGGGTGCTGCCACCGCAGGAGAGGGGCTCCAGGGGTGAGAGAAGAGGCTGAAGTGGTGACAGTTGTCACTCGGAAGGTCTGAGAGCCGGGGAGCAGCAGATTCTGCACAACAGGAATAGCCCGATCCGAGGCTGAAATTCAGTGAAAAGGAGATGGGCAAGGCAAGGGGCCGCCCCGCGCTGGGCTGGGCAGAGAGAAGCCGGGCGCAGCAGCAGGCGGGTACACGCCGCATTTTGGGGGTGATGGTGTAAATCACAGCGCCCGTGACGGAGGATGGGCCGGTTACCCAGCGAGCTCTCGCGGCTTGTTTTGGAGTCTCGCATCACCCGCCCTCCCCTGTCCTCTCTGATCCAGACAGGCCTGGCCACAGGCAGAAATGCCTTAGGCTGTGATCCTTTGTAAAATTACTTTGTCTCTAGTTTGGCCTTAAGCATAAACAGGAAAAGCAACAGCAATGAGAGCAGCTCACAGCATGACCCTGCCTTCCAGTTCCCCAGCAGCAGATCTGGAGCAGACAGCCCCGTGTGGTTAGATGCAGAGCCCTGCCCCGCCGCCTTTCATCGCCTGCCCGTCCTTCGTCACAAAAACATCCCCGTGTTGAGGGAGCTCAGTCCCTTCCCTGGAGAACTAGACTCTTTCCTCCCCGCAGTTTGTTGTTTATTGTCACGCTCCCCGGCCGCTGGTGCTGAGGAGCCTCCATCAGATGGGCTGGGAAAGCTGAACACGCTCCCAGCGCCGGCGTCGGGGGCGCCCAGGTGACACAGAAAAGCGCCTGTGCCCTGCGCCCATGATAAACGGGGAACCTGGCAACTGTCAGATCTCCTTTCATCAGTAGTTAACTGTTATTGATGTCTATTCACAGAAATTATTACTGATACAAGCAAAACTACACTGTGCAGTGTGGCCCATCCATTCTGATTTATAAATTCTAGTTGCCTGGCAAAATAATGCCTGCAAATCTTCCCTATTGTTTGTGGGCAGCATCCCATAAAACCAGCAGAATGAGTTGTTCTGGACATTTTGCACAAACTTGTTCACAAATAAAACTTGTCTTCTGCTGAGACAGTGCCCATCAAATTTCCATTCAATCTGAAACTTCATGAGGGAATAAAAAAAGGTACGAAAAATAATAGGGTTTCTAATGGAAATCCCTGCCAATGGTAACTATAGAGAAGATGTAATATCCACCCTTAGGGACGATTTATGACAGTTGATTTAACACCTTCACAATAAATGGGCGTTTATTGACAGTAAATTCTGCAGAAATACATATTGCATCACACTGCCACATCCCCATTAATGTTCCTGCACTGGTGGATGTTTATGTCAGGTGTCGTGAACTGGGGCTTCATTTGGAAGCCACTGGGCCAGGAACAGGGAAAAACTGATTTTTGTGGCCGAAGCGTCCTCCATCTCTTGTTCAAACGCTGCAGGAACTCGGCATTATGGAGGAGATGGGAACAAGCCCAACCTGCTGGCTGCACCTCCTCCTTCTGTGCTCAGCATCGTTGCTTGGTGGATCCACATTTACTGGTCAGGGGTGGGAGCACACCCGAGCGTACGTCGGGAGCCCCAGTCTCTGCCTGCTCCTGCGTGTCTCTCACCTGCCAGCAGCTCGTAGGACAGGGCTCGTCTCTGAAAAAAACAGCCGCTCTCCCTGGGATCCTGCAGCCGCCTTCGACATCCCTTAGGCACAATGAATGGCAGTTCCCTCTCTCAAGAAAAGATTACAAGAGGCCCAACAGGACTTCACAGTCCTGATTCCTCCTCTTCGGCTTACAGCTAGGTTCTCCATGCTGACATCTGTTCTTAATTCACCACCGATATTAAATAAATTCAATGGCAAAAATTAGGTCTAAATTAGGACTGAAATTGTAAGAGCAGCCATTAAGAGCTGGAGTCAGACGATTAACGCTGACCCCTGCGCACGGGGCAGGCCGAGGCGCGTCCGGGATGCTGCTGGGCACGACCTGCCTCTCCTCAAGCATCACTTCTCACGCCAAGTGGTTTCCTATCCCCGGCCAGCAAGAGGGGAGGGCTGTGGGCCCAGGGCTCTCGGCAGAGCCTGCTGAAGCAGCAGCCCCTCTGCCTCCGAGCTACCGGCCACGGGCTGCGAGAGAGCCCGGCTGCCTCGGCTGTGCCTCGGCGTCCCCCTGCGCTCCGGGACGCCTGTGCCCGAGGACGCCCGGGGTGGCTCCGCAGCAGGGAGAGATGGAGAAGGATGCGGGAGCAGAGCCGCGGGGCACAGGGTGCAGGAGCCCAGCACAGCCACCAAGCAAAGGGAGGAGGCAGAGGTGGGACCTGAAGCAGGGAGGTGGGAGCAGAAGAGCAGAAAAGCGCTGCAGCCCCAGCACTGGCGGGGGCAAAAGAGACCGAGGGATGAAAGTGTCGCTGCTGCCAGCCAGACACCTGAATAACAATTAAATAAGTAAAATATGCACTATTTACCTGTCTCTCAGGCAACACACACATAATTAGTTTATGTAAATACCTAACTCAGATTGGCAAAATAAGCACAGAGGCAGCTTATTTTCTTGAATCAATATTTATCCGGGCGCTTATGCTGTGTGTGGGCTCTGCTGTGACTGGCCGTCACACGCAGCTTTCCTCCGGCCGAGGTCGGACGCTGCAGGTTTCCACAGTGACCGCGGCTGTGCAAGAGTTGTTCTGACCCATGGGTCACATTCCCGTGATAACTGAGAACTTGAAGATAAGACTTAGCATTTTCTGATAAAAGCCAATTATCTCTGCAGAGAATACGATCCTCCATCCACTGAACGCCCAGCGAACTCGCATCAGTTCCACCCAAGTGAAAATGCTGTAACACTGGGTGACTAAGGAAATCCAAACCCTTCGAGGTGTGTCAGAGAAGTGTCTGCGTTTGCTGTGCAGCCGTCTTGGCAAAATTCATCTGTTTGGCCTCAGTTCAGCAGAACACTTAAGAACATACATAAGACTTGGAAGGTGTGCAAGCTCCAGTAAAACAGAAGCATGTGCTTAAGTGGTTTTGCTGGACAAGGGCCTTTAAGCTACTGGCACTTGCTATAATTCCTCATTTTTAATAAAACCCATCTTACCGTGCAACAGGGGAGAAGTTGGGGCTGAGTGAAGGAAGCAGTCAGGGCCTGATAATTGACTTCCCAGTTTTTAATGTCAGAGCACGACAAATGAAAGCTTCATCCTTGGTGGGTTTGATTTAGATCCTCTCAGTCAGCAAACCCTTAATTAGAGGCCACCTTCAGTAAAATCTGCATTGATAAAAAGGAGATGGAAGTGCAGCCCTGTACTGCCTTTAATAGCTCAGGACACCACACCAGCCCGGGCTCCCTAAAACACGCTCCATTCTGCCTCTGTGTGACATTTACTGCCAAGGACACGGGGCTGTGATCAAATCACAGGAGCTGCTAAAATGGCACAGTAAAATTTTATTTCTGCACTAAAAGCCTTTTGATCCTTGGGCATCCATGCAGATTTCTCTCTCTTCATTTTCTGTGGTAAAGCATAAAGTCCTAGCTGTTATTTAGCTTGCTATATCATTTTGACAAATTTGGCTTCGGATCTTTCAGACAGGCAGTTGCTAGTGAGCACTGACCACAGAACTGCTCATTTGTTTCCTCCTTCAGAAAAATCCACAGCCAAATCCTTCAATATCTCCTTCGGTTTTCCCTCTGAAGTCAGGACACCCACACAGAAGTGATGGAGGAGCTGAAATGCTGCATTCCTTTTGCCATTTCTGCCTTGTGACTTTGGAGACCGATGAGCCAAAATCCTCCCGTGTGCTGTAACGTGGGGAGAGCAGCCGAGCTGCGAACCCACCGGGCATCCCCTGCCAGGACGCTGCCAAGGCTGCAGCCTCTGCTCCGCCGTGCAGAACTTCACCAGCCCCTGCTCCGCCGTGCAGAACTTCACCAGCTCGAGCCGGGCAGCCAGCACGGCCTGTCCCCTGCTAACCACCACTGTCCTTCTGCTTCCATCAGTCCCACAGCGGCAACAAAAGGGCTCACTGGGAAAATACTGCTCCCGTTCGCTCTCAATTCTGGCAAATACCAGTGCTTCAAACGGACACCTTCTGTACCAAGCTGATCTAAACATGTATTTCCATTTGGAAAGTGAGAAGGGAAGGGAACCAACCAGGGCTCAGCTGAAGAACCATGTTAGAAAAAAACCCCTCATTTGTACCCTTGTTACAGAATTCCTGAAACTCTCTGTTCAGGATCTCTAAAGCTCGTTCTTTGGAGGGGAGGCCCCTTTCACACACACCTATGTAATGGATAAAAGCTCATGTAGAAACTCTTGTAGAAAAGAGCCCAGATTCCTTGATTTAAAAATATCCCACTTACTTTCCTCGCAGATTTGCAAGGTCAAATGAGATCATTAGTCTGACCTTCCTCCACCACTCAGGCCAGAGACCTTCACCAATTTCTACAGCGAACCTAGAGTTTCTGTTGGAGTAAAGCATGTTCTAGCGAGACAGCTAATACTGATTTAAAGTTTGCAAGTAATGACAAATCCACTGTATCTCTAGGTAATTATCACTCCTGGTTAGTTTAGAATTTTAATTTTCAGAACCAGATGTTAAATAAATCCTGCACGGGTATGTTAGGCACCTGGCACGGGGGGAGGTACTGCTCAACTCCAGAAACCTAATTTATGTGCCGGCATTTCCTCTGAAGTCAGTGATACCAAAAGAGTGATTTGCAAAGCCCAGGCAAGGCAGCTGACATTGAAGTAGCCTTGGACGTATTTATTTAAGGTTTTTTAAAGAACCTAAATGAATGTTTAGTGAGAGGAATGAATGCAGCTCTTAACCAACAGAATGAGGTTGAATGTGGTCGCTCACTGAATCTAGCATAGAAATTATTTGATGACAGAAATAACAGAAAGAACCACAATTCTTACAAGAAGACAGGATGAAAAATAATGCTCAGCTGAAGCTCCTCGTGCAGCTCAGAGGGTTCCAGCACCACGAGCTGTGAAGTCCACCATTAATCAGCGGAAGCGTGAGAAGTGCCCAGGTGGGCGCTCCCACCCCACTCCACGCCTCGGCTTCCTCCGAGCGAGCCTCTCGCGTTGCATCCTCAAGTCGACTTGAGGGGAAAGAAACTGAACCTTTTGCCTCACGCTGCTACAGCATTGCTTCCTGCAACTTCATTCTGGAGCGGCCTCCCTCGGCCACTTTCTCCTCTCGCAGCAACATCGAAAGGAAGGCCAACAAAACCAAACCGTCTCTGCAAACGGTGGGATTTGCACACAGCAAACTCCCTGCTGGAAAGAGTTCTGTGCCAAGAAGCCAGCACAGCCAGGATTGCAGACGTTTTATACCGTTGTAAAACATCCTTCTTCTGACCATTTTAGAGGAGCCTACCAGAATGAGCTCACCGCACTTGGGCAAAAGCTGCGGAGACTGTAACATCCCTCGGCTGCCTGTGCGGCATTTCACCGGCTAACATCAGCCAAAGATCCAGCAGTGACAGTCACAGATCAGCAAACGACAGCCCAGGCACAACTCTAGGATGGTAACACCGGGCGGCCCCCAGAGCCTTGCCCCGTGTGTTGTGCAGCCCCTGGATCTGTGCTGGGTGTTGTTTAGGTGACGAGAAGGGTCCGTACTGCCCGGAGCAGGCCGGGTCAGCCCCACCTGTCCCACCTCAGGTGTTCTGGCCAGGCCCCCACCCCCGGGCTCTGGAGCAGAGCGCAGGGAACGCTGCCCGCGGAGCGGCTCTGCCGCGGCTCTGTGTCCGCCCGTGCAGGGACACGGCGGGTCTGGAGGGAAGCGGCTACACAGAGCCCAGCCTGGGCCAGGGAGGGGGCAGGAGACCCAGCGGGGCTCTGGCAGCACAGGTGCCCCCTGTGCGAAGGGACGGGGGAGGCCCAGGGCTGCACTTTGGGGGTGTTTTGGCCCATTACTGCAGCGTGACTGCCAGGGGCGTCTCTCGGGATGGAAGCACCTCGGTTTCTAACGCTGTTTCTCTCTCCCCCTCTGTGTTGCGCGCAGAAAGCTGACCTGGCCGTTGCTCCTCTCACCATCACCCACGTTCGGGAGAAAGCGATAGACTTCTCCAAGCCCTTTATGACCCTGGGGGTCAGCATCTTGTACCGGAAGCCCAACGGGACCAACCCCAGCGTGTTCTCCTTCCTCAACCCCCTGTCTCCCGACATCTGGATGTACATCCTCCTCGCCTACCTGGGGGTCAGCTGCGTGCTGTTTGTCATAGCCAGGTAAGGGGACGCCGGTGCCACCCCGCCACATCTGCTGCCGTGCGACACCCTCCTCGCGCTCGCATCCCTTCTGCTGCCCGGTGTGTCGCGGGGACCCAAGCACCCAGTGGGAGCCACGGCATTAAACCCCTGGCATTAAGGAAATTACTTTTGGTCCATTAACCAAAGGCAGGCGGGTCTCCTGGCGTGGGGTCGCTCCCCTGCCCTGTTCTCTTTCGGACCTGTATCTCCGTGTGGCTGCAGAGGGGATGCAAACCCCAGGGTGAAAATCAAACACGGGCTCTCCGCAGGGGAAACGTGCTTCCTTCCTCACTACCTAGAGCCTGCGTTACATCCTTCGTACTGCTTTACTGTACTAAATGTGCTTGTGTGTGTTCGCTTTATTAACATAAACCTGTAAGCCTCTTCTGCCGTATCAGGGCAGGCAGTTCCACAGATTTAGCAGACTTCCAGCACAAAAGAATTTTTAAATGCACCTTCTTTTATGATTTTAGAAATGTTGTCGCCTTTCCATTTCATTAGCACCTCCCTGGTATAATGAAGGGTGATTTTCCTGCTCTGTATTGTTCACCATTCATGCTCCTGTCAGGTCACTTCTTGCCCACCCCCTCCAGGAGACGCCCAGCCTCTCCGCCGTGTCCTGGACACAGAGCTCCGTGTCCTGCACCATTTCCAGCTCCTGCCTCTGAACCCTCCGCCAGCAGAGCTCTCACAAACCCTTCCCTATATCAAAAGAATGGAAAAGCTGTTGCTACGGATCAGACAATGTGTCTGTTTACAAAATTAATATGCATCTAATTAGCATGTTTAAAACCTCTATATTTAAAATCGGTGGAATTTGCATACATTTGCATGTGTTATTACTTTCACAGAGTCTTTGATGAGACGCAGAGTCCAGGGCTGCTCTCAATATGTGATTCCACCTTTTCAAACCAAAACAAAGCCCCTGAATCCCTCCCGCCAGGCAGCCACCCTCCCTGGCCACGCACAGCCCTCGCTGGATGTTTAAATATTTTGCATGAACACCGTGCCCGGGGAAGCTTCCAAAGCACAGTCTGCAGTTAGACACTTGTTTCTCATTCCCTCCAGTTCAAGTTATGCCCGTGGTGCCTCCAGAAAGCCCCCTGCTGACCCCACGCCTCGGACTGGGGTTTCCCCCAAGGGTGGCTCTGCTGTACTTTCCTCAGAGCATCCTTCAGAAACCAGCTTCCATCTAATCCACTGCCATGCATCAGATAGTCAAAGTACAGATTAAATACGAAACTGCGGCAACCAGAATCCATTAACCCTCCTATTACAACAAATCTGCAATTTTCAGCATCCCTCAGGTCCATGGAGGCGTTTAGAGATGATTTCCCGAGTTTACTGTGTAATATCCTAATTACACATAACAGCAGTTGTCAAAGTAAACTCAGCTTAGCAGACAGCATTAGCGCTCCAAACCATCTGGGATGGCGAAGCAGCCACATCCCCCCAGCCTCCCTCTGCAGAGGTGCAGAGCCGGAGAGGTTGCGCCTCTCTCTCAGAGGACACAGAAGGCCCCTCCACGTTCAAGACTGCAACGGCAGCGGCTCTCCCCGGCCCTTGCAGCCCCGCGCTGTCAGAGGGCCGCACGCCAGGGCTGCGGGCGCTGCCCGAGCCCCCTCAGGAGCTGCTTGGGCACGGACGGCCCCGCGCACTTGTTACCACCGTGCTGGTCTGGAAGAGGATGAGAGCCACGTTGCCATTAACACATCGCTCCCCCTTCCTGCCCGCTCTGCCCCGCCGAGCCCCAGCCCGAGGCAGGCACGGGCTGAGGCTGCACAAAATGTGGGACAGTTCAGCAAAACGCTGCTGCCGGCTTTGTCCCGCCCCAGCCGAAGCCCCTGGGCCGGTGTCGGGGACTGCAGTGGGGCAGGATGAGGCCCTCAGCAGGTTTGCTTTGGATCAGAGAGAGAACCACCAGACACTCTCAGCAGGAAAAGATACTCATCTGGGAAAATGAACCCAAGGTAATCACAAAAAGGAAAAATATTGTGATGACTGACCGAATGCCTTCACTTTATGTCTCTGCTAGCCATGCAGAACACGGCTGGATGGGCTCTGCCGCCATAACGTCTTTGGCTTTAATGCCGTAAAGTATTAGACTGCTCGTGCGGCTTGGAATGACAATTCAAATCCAATTTTATGTTTATGAGCTTATTTTTCCCAACTCCCATGATGGCCAAACCCAGCCCAAAACATCCAGATCCCACTTCCAAAGCATGTTAAATGGCCAAATTGTTTCTGCACATGAAATTCATTGCAGTAAATACTGAGAAGGGTTGAAGGAAATGCCAGGACAGGCCCCGATGTGAAAACCCCTCAGACACCACTTGGTACTCACAGGCGAACCCAGATGCTTGTCCAGAGAGCCGGGCACCCAGGCCCCCAGCCAGGTACCGGCCCGTAACCCCCCCGGCCTGCCCGGCACTGCCTGGAGCGGGGGGGTCAGGGCTAACCCCGGCCCCTGCGTGTGCCCAGACTCAGGGGCTGATCCGAGACCGCTCTGGGGAGCGCCCCGGCACGACCAGCAGCTGGCCTTGAGGGATGAAAACCTGAAGAACTGTGGTTTAGTCTCTGCTTTTGTTCTGGAATGACCTGAAATGAACCTTATAATCTCTGTACATCATAGCAGTTATGATGTAATACAACAGGTTTTCCCTACCAGGCTATTTTTTGGCTGAAATTGAATCTTTAAAATATTGCAATTTGTTTCTTTCTCACATTTTGCTCCTGACATTTCTTCTGTCTTTTTTTTCTTTCAAAGGACACCAAGTATTTGATGTAATTAAGGTTCTGCAGGAATGATCTTTTAACATACAGAGATGGAAAGCAAGGGATTACTGTAATAGAAACAATATCGTCTTTTGACCCCAGCAAGGCCTCTAAAATTCCATTCTCAGGAGAAAACCACAGTCAAAATAGCCAAGTCTTAATTCAGAGACATGAGTCTCCTGAACTAGGCACCAGAGTCCTCTGCTGATGCTATTATCATAGGTCAATGCCACTTAAAACCAACTTAGGGACTATTTAGAGGCAGGCAAAGGATGTATTTGATCCATCTCCCCTTTTAATCAGCCTTTCTTAGTTATTAATGGAGCCTCTGCTCCTAACCACCCCAGCCCCACAGAGCCATAAACACGAGCAGTTTATAAGGCTTCGTGGGGGTAATTTGTCTGGTGACTCTGGTGCGAGGTTGGACGTGGGCTGTGCAGCTGGCTGATGTCAGCTGTCACCCGGCCTCAGACTCGCGCAGCCCTCACATCACAGCTCACCACCTTCGGGTGCACGGCGGGGCGGGGGGGCGACATTCATCTTGACTGCAATGAGGACTGGGTCTTCCATAAGAAATTTCTCTGGAGACGCAATTTAGGCTCAAAAGTATTTTGTGTTAGATCTTTAACACTTCTTTGAAATGCTTCCGTTTCCCTGTCGAAAAGGCCAAGAAGAGACAAGAAAATAATCATAGTTTTTGATGAAATATTTCTCAGACCCCACTCTGCACCTGAGGAAGAGGGAAGCCAGCCCACAGTGCATCCTGAGCAGCCCCCATTTATTATGGCTCCAGCTTGGGGTCAACGAGCTCCGCTCACTCCTGCCCTTCATTACGCCTCTGTTCCCACTAATGGTCCCACTCGCTTTTCAAGCACTGAAGACTCTGTCATTGCTTTGCGGTTTTCTGAATATTTCTGTGTAATTTGAGCAGCACCAGTACGTTTTCGCTCAGAGACCTTGAAGTTCTTCTGCGTGTCATCTTGTCAGGCTCATCTGATCTTACCAATTCCCTTTCTGTTTCATATTATTTCACTGGCAGCCCAAGAAAGTTTTCATCTAATTCTTGAACTTGAGCTTTATTCAACAGAAAGGTCTCGGGCTCCATCCTTTACCCACCTCTGGCATAAATTTACAGCAAGTTTCAAGGTATAGGCAGCATGTAAAGCCAGGTCTGAATTCACCCCGTTCTTGTTTTCCTTTCTGATTTCCTCTCATCTGAAAAAGCAGAGGGAGATGGGCAGTGAGAACGGCCCAGGCGTTACCTGGAGGAACGAGCAGGACTGTCAGGGTGCAGCCTGAGCGAGGCCTCTGGTCCCACACTCTGCAAACCCAGAGCGGGCAGGAAGGCGAGATGAAAGGAGGGGAAAGCAGAGGTCATTGAACTGCATCCTGCATGCGGAAACTAGGAGCAAAAAGTGGGACAGATGTACCCAGGGTGAACCTTTCGAAAAGCACAGGCAGTCCTATGCGCTGCGCCTAGTCTGTCCCCCGTGATGAGGGGTCCCCGCAGACCCCCTGCGCTGAGCCCTGCCCAGCCGCGGGCCTGGGACCGTCCCCCCGCACCGGGGGGGGCACAGTCTGGGGGAGGTGTTTGCTGGGGGGAGGTTTCGGTGCCCGGAGAGAGCTGTGGCTCTTCTCTCCAAACACATCCAACTGTCTGACCGAAGGCGCCCGTGAAATTAAGCCCCAGGACATCTCCTTGGGCAGAGCAGAGGGAAGTATCTCCCAGTACAAACTGTGGGCTGGGCTCTGAGAAAGGGCTGCTGTGAAGCTGCAGGGATTTCAGAAGGAAACAGAGGTGATAATTAATGTCTGGCTCAAAAGAAATTATACCAATTATGTTTTTAATTTAATCTCTGCAAAATTTGGGACTCTTAGAAAATGTAAATAAACAGCTCTAAAAATTTTAATGTCTCTCCTGTTGAGCATCCTCCACGGATCCTGGCTAGAAGAGCTACAATTCACGGCGGCGCTTGCCTTCCAATCCTAGGCAGGGACAGTCCCCTGAAATACCGCAGTTTGTCCCAACTACCGCTGCAGAATCACTGTGGCACCTCTCCTCAGTCACTCTAGAAATGCCGTTTTTCCCCACGGTTTGGAAGGGTTACGTATCAGAGGCCGTGTGTGTGTGCACCACATCCCATCCCATGGTCGTGTGCTCGTTGCTGTTGTGTGCCGTAGTGCTGCAGAGATGATCCGGAGTGACCGAAGGCTCTGGGGAAGCAACCTGAGACACCTCAGAGGGACTTGGCTTCCCAGGTTTCCTCGCTGTCTGCAACGCAGGACACGGGGCTTACAGCTGTGCTGGTCACTTCTGAAAATCTTGGCTGAATTTGTCTTTGTCTTTAATAAGCCTCATAACCGAAGGGGTCGGCAGGCCCCGTACCACAGCATGAGATGTATTAAGGCTCTTTTTTTCCTGTTCCTTTAGGATCTTGTCATGCCACATCCCGATTAACGAGCTCTCGCTTTCCATGTGCCGCCACAGGTTCAGCCCATACGAGTGGTACGATGCTCATCCCTGCAACCCGGGATCTGACATCGTGGAGAATAACTTCACCCTCTTGAACAGCTTCTGGTTTGGGATGGGAGCGCTGATGCAGCAAGGTACGGCGGCACCTCCCCGCTCACACCCCCTCCTGCTGCTTCTCCAGAACAGGCCTTTAGTCATGGCTTTTACATTTGAAATGTACTTTGCAACAGGAACGAGATAAAATATCTGAACGGGCACAGAGGTGGATGGCGGAGAGGTGGGGGGGTGGGGGGGAGGCAGCTCTCCCCCAGCACCTCCTGGGACCCGCTCGGTGCCCACTGCTCCC